ACTCTTTGCTTCTTGCTTTCTTATTGCCTTGCCATTGCATGCTATTTATAGGGAAAGAACCCAACCACCCATGCATGATTTTCTTCCCTCATTAAATGCAATAGTTGAATTTACCATGCAAACATTCAACAAGAGCTGCCATAGGTGCAGCCTTTTACCATAGGGTATGAAATTTTACCACATGGAAGTCCATGTGTTCACATGCGCTGGAAATTTTCGCCAACAATAATGTCCCTCTCTAGGGCTAAACCTACGAAAAAACTTCTCTTGACGACATGCGATTGCATAAGTCTCTTTGATCTTTGTCCTTCCACCGATGGGGCAGAACAGTACATCTTTATTATTTTTTCCAATATTCAAAAATTCTATTATGCCATGCTGGATAGATTGGAACAAAGCTGGGACGACTCCACTCCCAACCACTTCGTCTGCATTCAATTTCGATAATTCACCATCTGTCAAATTCAGAATTTCCAAGGCACATGCATGGATCAACTTCCGTTCGTATACGCATTTGATTCCTGCATCCGTATCCCCAAACTAATATCAATATATATATATATATATATATATTACATGCAAATTAAAAGTATATATAAATTTTAACAAACTTAAAGTTTAAATTTTAAAATGAATGAAGGAGAGCCAATTTTTACTGTATGGACTATTATTTAAAAAATAGTTAATTTTAAAAAAAGATTTAATGAAAATAAAAAAGAAAACGTACCCAAAAACTTTTGGAGCATTGAATTAAATTCACGTATGCCCAGAAAAAGGAAGCTCAATCTACGCCGTAGACGACTTCGCTCTGCAGTATATTAACTCCATTCTCATGTGATATACAATAATTTGCTAGGTATTTGTAATCATTTTCAGCATACCATATACTTTAAATTGTTAATTATTGACTTATTTATTAAAACAAGACTTATATATCTATGTTAAAAAAAAAAGTATTGACCTATTTTGAAAAGCAATTGATGACAGCTAGCGATTAAAGAAAAAAAATGTCTTGTGTCTTGAATTTTACCGTGATTGTGTGAGAGTCACTTCAAGAAAAAAAAAGTTTGGAGCTAGTTTATTGGATTTTGGTATGCTTAACACCTCACTAATATAATAACCATTATCTTGATGGAAAAAGAAAAATTATTATGTCCTAATATTTCAAATATCAGAACATTTAATTCTGATCACATGATAAATGAAATTCAAGTATTGAAGAAGGCTGAAATAGTTGTTTATTTACTTTGTAATTTTGTTTGCGCTTTTTTTTTGTAATATATTGTAGAATATATTAAATTAAAATACATACCAATTATTATTTTTTTATTTTTAATGACTAGTTTCTTATTCTTAATAATTTAGATTTGTTTATGATTCTTTATTGTCTATTACTGTATGTTGTGACTCTATCAAGAATTTATACCCTGCTATATAAAAGAAAAAAAAAACATAATATACTTTGTCTTTTGATATCATTCTGCTCGTTTTGGTGGATTGACGCAACGGGAATACGAACATCAGGAGAGGGTGCAGGTGGCCGCTTTAATTACTTCCTTATCTTCACTGGCTACGGATATACCATAATAAATCCACTGCTGCAGAAATGAAAGCCGCGTTCCACTAGGGAACAGAGAGGTTTGTGCAGACAATGTTAGAATCGGAGTCGACACCCGATTATTGTATTTGAATCTGGTGAATGCCAAACGCGGATAATGTTGCAGTAGATCCAAAGCAATAACTGATCATACATATCAGTACATAAGAAAAGTAGTCTATAATTTCCACCAAAAAAATATTAATTAATTACTGTATTGGAAAATGATAATAAGATAGAATATATATCTTATAATCTATGTTGGTATATAATTAAAACTCTTACCAAGCATTTCATTAAGCATACAAAAATGGAGGAGTAAGGAACCATGCTCGCCTCTCTCCGGATATAGGAATTCCAGAGTCTGAAAGTAGAGATAGAGTGTTGTTTCCTTGAGGCGTTGGGCGCATGCCCGCACAACTGGAATCATTCCTTCTGTGTCTGGGATTGTGAGCAATTTATTGTTCTTTGTAGTTAATAACAATTTTGCAATCTCCGTTTTTCCAAGATAGGCAGCATAGGCGAGAGCTGTGCAACCATTTTTATCTTCGTACAAAATTTCTTCTTCAGACATTATCTGCACCAGTTTCTTAACCCCCTCCACATCACCTGACCATACTGCAAGATGAAGAAGGCTAGCTTTGTCACCGAAAAATTGTGGATTTTTTTCCAGGAAGCTGACACTCTTCTAACAATTTGATTACGGTATCCCACTTCTGATAGAAAATGGCTTCTAAGAATTTATTGCTACGAGTCCTTTCAATAGGCTTTGTTTTCCCTGCAACAATTAAGTTCCCAAGTCCTTAAGAAACCTCACCAAGGGATTATTTATATATATATATATATATATTGACCATATGCATTTCTGGAGCTAAAGAAAAGGAATTCAACAACCTGGAATGGTTCCCTCAAAGAATATGCGGAGATCTGTCCCTTGTCTTGATGATTGAGGTCCATCCAATCGCCATTTATTCTTCATTTCATGTATTTTAGCCAATTCGTCCCAAGCTTCTTTCGCTGAAGTTTTCCCCATCGTCCGAGCAAAAATCTCTGGTGCACATGAGATTTGAAGGGTGTAAAGAACTGCAGCATTTTTTCTCTTCCAATTCGCAGTAGCCTCCTGATCACTGGAAGACGGTCCATTGCTTGATTCAACAACATCCCAAAGATCTTGAGCTAATAAATAGTTTCTCATGCAATTGCTCCACTCTTTATAATTGCTCTGTGAAAGAACATCTGGAACCATCGCCGTTGAGGAGATCGTATTTCTGGCCATTTCAACCTACATATATAGCAGGAAATCATGATATAAAACTAATCATAGATAATGTACAATGCTTTCTACGACCAAAATATACTGCCCAGCAGTCATGGTTCAGAGTTAAATTGGACTAATTTGTTCAAAAGCAAAGTACATAAACCAAAATTAACTATACAAACTTCCAGAGGATAAGATGAAAAGATGAATTAAGGCCCTTCCTCCTCAAACTGAGAGCTTTAATTAATGACGGACAAAAACCTGCCCGCGTGCTTTGACTATAATTTGAATATAAAGCTAGAAGTTATGAACAGAATGTAAAGCCAATATATATCAAATCTAATTTAATTTGAATCTAAATTAATAATCTAAAACTACGAACAGAATTTAATTTGGACTTTGATAAAGCAAAATATTGCATTCAATGAAATTCCCATTTCCACCAAAAAAAAAAAAAAAAATCCTCACAGCTAGACCCTGTTCAACATGCAAGCCAAATAACATTGAATGCAATATTTACGGTGCATCTCAACGACACAATTTTATACCTCTTTTATAGGCATTATCCGATGATACCAAAGCAAAAGCAATAAAGAATGACTTCAAGGTGAGGGCATATCAAGATAACATACCCAAGCAAGAATCCCATTCCCAGCAAATTCGCAAGAATCCAAGAATGCATGTAACACGCTCTCTAGTACTCAAGAATTTCCTAATTGTTACCCCAAAATCTTGTTGGCAACATATTATAATAGAAATAAGATTAATAACATGTCACTTACTTTTACAAAAAAAAAGGAAGAAAAGAATTCGTTGAAAGCCCCCTTCTTCTACTTGATTTTTTCTTATGAATAATTAACCGTTGGAAAAATATCCTTCTGAACAAAGCCATTTTCCCATCGGACGATATAGCAGAAATAAAGGATTAGTTTCAGCATGGTGACCTTAAAAATTGCCTTAAATTGACTTGAGTATAGTAAACATGTACCAAGAATACACCTTAAAATATTAGCGATACTACCCGCCATAGAAATATAAGACTCCGGAAACTAATTAATTTTGATATAGAAACATATATATTTGGCAGAAATAAGAAACTGTAGCAAACTGTAGCAAATGTAGCTTGGCAAAAATGTAATATGCTAGAAAGATAACTCGTACAGAAAATAAAAAATGCTGAAAAGTAAATCTCGCTGAAATGTAGAATGCTAGAAAAGAAAAAATCTCGGTAGAAACGTAGATTGATTTGAAAGATAAATTCCATAGTTGCTAAATGAATAACAAATTTGAATAGTGAATTGAAATTAACAAAGTATAATGATTGATATATATTTCAATTCAAGTATAATACATTTTAAAAAAATTATTATTTTTTATTTAAAATTACAAATAAATATATTTAAATTGAGACGAATATTAAAAAAATATGTTGAATTGAATATATACTAATAATTTTACTATTGAGAAACTAACATTAAACAAAAGGCAATCGAATGGATGGAACTGTGTTGATAAAAATGCAAGGCGTGCTGGTAGAAGTATGACAACTATATAAAACTTGACACTAGAGTTAACAAAACAAAGAACTTGTTGGAGGACTTTTTATTCTTTATTTTCTAAAATCAATTCAGTTAATGAAGGCCTAAAAATACTGGAAGTAATGGATGTTTTCAGCAGCTTGCTCGTCTTATCGACTAGCCCTGCAGCTGCACTGTTCTGAAAAAAGAAAAAATCCCCAAAATCACGCCCATTGAGCAAATTGAATTGTCCTTGATTTTTTCCATCTGATTCGAACTGTTATGCTACAAATCTGGTCCTTCCCGATTTAAAGGAATTATGAACCCTTTTTGTTTTCAAAGTTGCAAGAGCTCCCCTCGAATTAGTCAAACTTAATCTTGATGACAATAACCCTATAAGCCCGATCCTTTAGCAACCTTTAGAAGCCCAGACCAAATCCAGCTCTATAAATATAATCAGAGTCCAAAATCCATTTGAACTCTACCTAAATCGGGCCCAAAATCTATTTGGACTCCGCTCCTGCCACATGGCAGAAACAAAATGCACCGGAATTTGTGTTCTTTCCTTACCATGAGCTCAAGCACACCAGATTATAGCCTTGATTAGCTTTCAATTCCAATTGCATGGAGTAAATCGTGGTCATTGGAGCTCTGCTTTAAAACACGTGGCATCATAAAAAATGTTTTCTACTTGTGGTGTAAGCACTCATATATTAAGGCAAATTCTGAAAACACTGGATTGTTAGCAGCACTCTCTCTATGTATCATCCTGGAATTACACAAATTAAGACTTGATTTTTGTATTCCTTAATTGTAATTTTGATGGAATTTTCATCCAAACATATATATCAATAAAAATTATATAGTGTAAACCACCCATGAAATTTTCACATGCATCCCTCTCACAATCCACTTTTTTTGGTATTGGAGATAATTCTATATCCTTAAAGCGATTTAATTACTATATATTTTACATAATAAATTTAACATCTTAAATACTCACAAATTTATCTTTGTTCATTAACAAATCTCTTTTTATTTATTTATAAATTTGTCCACAAATCTATTTTGTACACAAGCACCCATAAATCCGTCCAGCCGTCCATGATGACCCATAAAATCAATTTGTATATGTTTGTTGATAAATTTGCCCACAAATCTCTCCATATCTTTTCGGTCCATAAATATGTCAGTTCATCCATCCATAAATTAGTTCGTTCAATGCCTGATTGTTCGTTGCTCTGTTCACAATTATCCAACTGCCATCTGTCTATATCCATAAATCTATCAATTTGTATGTCCACAAACTCCTTCCATCCATTAATAAATTCGCCTATAAATCTATCTATTCATACAAAAGTATCCACAAATTCATGTGCTTGTTCACGCCTATAAAATTTTCAAGCTAGGTCCTTTCAATGGTTAAAAGGGACTATTCCTAACTGCAACTTTAATTTGTCAGATTGGTTACAAAATCCAGTTAACAGTTTCAAAAGTTGTGCAGGCAGATGAATAGATGTAAAAGGGATTAACAGCTGAAATATTGGAGGGATATCAGTAGATGCTCATAATATCCCTCTTAAAATATCCCTCTTAAAGTGGGGAGGTGTTTGTGCACTGTCTTAATAAAGATTTGAATACGTCTTATACTCATTTTAATAAATTGATTATTTAAAAAAAAAAACATATAAAATTTGTTTGTATATTTTTATTCATAAATTCATCCATAAATTTATTTGTATTTATCAATCCATTCATTCAATATCTGTTCGTCTACCATGTATCCATGTCCACAAATTTATCTATTAGTCCAATTTGTCCAAAAAAATCCATATGTCCATAAATCCACCCGTCAACAAATTCATCCATCGTAAATAAATCCACCCACAACTCTTTCATAAAGTTATCCACAAATCTATTTGTATTTGTCGGCCTGCCATCCTCCCCCACCATCCATCTATGCCCACAAATCTACTAATCCATAAACAAACCAATAAACAACCAATTTTAAATTATTATTATTAATTTTTGATTTTAAGTTGCATAAAAAAAGCCAACACTACTTTGTATTTTCACTAACATTCTAATCGGAAATTTTATATCACCGAATACAATTTTACTTTTGTTATGTAAGTTTGGATATTCAAAACTATCATTTTTTTTCTTAAATACATCTAAAATACTTCACATTATAAATCTCAAAATAATATGTACTTTACATTTGCTGAAAAAAGTTTATCCAAAATTCATTGCCTTTTTAATAATGATTTGTAGGTATTCTCCCTTCTACTAAATTCTTGAATGTTTTTTAAAAAAAAAAGGAAGAAAGAAAACAAAATATGTTCTTCTTCGACAAAATGAATCAAAAGTCTCATTAAGATAAAATTAGACTGAAATTGTCTCGAAATTTAATTTTCTCCTATTGTTCTCTTAAACTCAAAACTTAAAAAGGGAAGAAGAACATTAGTGCTAATCTTTTTAACTGTTGATGATGACAAAATTGGAGGCGGAAAGCATGTAATTGTTGAATGGTTGTGTGACGCAAAAATATGTGGCAAAAGAGCCATTATCCCAGCTCTGTGATAACCGCTCACCCCACGGCCTCTTCTCATTTGTCATCTTTGCCTTAAATAAAAGAAACGTTTTTCACCCAAGTAGCTTTCAAAATTACGGTAATTTTTGCTGGGTTCATAAGCACATAGGTGGTGCACTCTGTACACAAACAAAAACAGGGATAAGGAAATGAGCGAGCTGACGAGTCCTCTTAATGTGTATAATTTATTGTGCTTCCATCACTTTCTTAAGTAACCCTCTTTGGTTTAGTTTAGTTGTGGAGAAATATTGAAAGTGTAGAATAAAAATTTTTAATTGGAAGAAGAAAGGTATTTGAACAACAATTATAAATTATTGGTAATTTTTTTATATATATATTTGATAATAATGAACAATACAAAACGAGTAGTCTTCTCATTTTCTTAAATCTCTTTTTAGTTGGTTCAAGATTTGAATTTAAATATTTTAAATTCAAATTTTTAACTCTTAACTATTAAATTATTTCCTCAAAAATATCTGTGCTTTAGAAACATCTAAGCAGAATAGTGCTAAATATCTTTTCAAATTATTTTTTTTTCAAAAAAAAGTATGGTGCATTACTATCTGTGCAATTTAGACTATTAAATGAGGACGGACTATAGTTTGATACCATTTATACTATAAGACAAAGATTCTCTTTTCTTTAAAAAAAAAAATTCCATTTTATTTTTGATGCGAAACAAAAAAGTTTCCTAATTGACGCAAATTCTAAACACTTTGGCTTGTAGGAACCCTCTAATCACCTTGGAACAGGACAAAGACTTGACTTGTGAATTTCTTGGTTGCAACTTTGTTTAAATTTTCATCAAACCATACCAAAATAGAAATTAAAAAAGATAAATCACTTATGAAAATTTCACAAATATATTAGATTACATTATCAGAAAGTTTATTAATTTCCTCACACACATTCAATAAAACAGCTGCCATACATATAAAAGCCAAATCATATGATCCATAGAAGATATAAAAGGTAGTTAATTAACTACTCCCTTCTCTTCATAAGTTTCCCGGTCAATTTTTTCATTATGGATAATATCCTGGATAATATCCCTTTTCTGTTAAAGATTCCTGGCCCATAAGTTGACACCAAAATCTCAAAAAGAAGCCGAGATTGCGATGACAAAAAGACAACGACAGGAATGCTGGCGACCAAAACTAGCGAGAAGACTACCCACCATTTTTCCTGTAACATAATTGAAACAGCAGCACAAAAAGCTACCGACATTGTTGCAACAGAAATGAGGAGCGTAAGAATGCCTATAATCAGCATGGTGGGCAATGACCTAAGAAAATCTTCTTCAGTGTAGCGAGATGTGAGGATTCCTAAAAACGTCAGCACTGAAGTAGATGCGGCGAACAAAGAAATTGCATCTGACATTATATATGTCAAAAATAATCTTTTATGTGAGAACATGGGGAAGCCATTTTCATTGTTACCACCTGGAACAGAAAATGCTGCAGCAAACATAGTAGTGATGATGAGGGTACCAACTATAATGTAAGATTTTGTTGTTTGCTTCATCCATGCTTGAGCTTCTTTTAACAAGTTCATGTGATCCCTGGTAAACACTTTCCAAGGAGTTTCTCCATTGTGATTCACCCAGTCTTTACACTCTGGAACAACAGACTCAAATTCCTGCATCAACGAACTCATAAATTAAATTAAGCTACTAACCCTTTTTTCTTTTTTTGAAGAAGAAAGGTAATTGTAAGCTACTAATTATTTTTACACAGTGAAATTAATTAAGGAAATTATTATAAAATTAATGCCATGATATATATAAATTTTGCATGGTTGAGGACAAAAAAGATATAAACTGACTACCTTGAACCATTGTAATTCCTTTTGCATTTGAAGGGCTGCACCTGAAAACTGAGCAAGATAAGACTCTGGACCTAACTTCGCTGCTATGTGAAGCGCATTATTGCCATCGCCATCTGTCCATGCAGCCAAAAAATGTCCCTCTCTAGCGCGAAGCTCATGAAAATACTTCTCTTGACGACATTCGATTGCGTAAGTTTCTACGAACTTTGTCTTTCCATCAAAAGCGGCTGACATTACATCAACATTAGCTTTTCCAATTCTGAAAAATTCTATTATGCCATGCTGGATCGATTGGAACAAAGCTGGGACGACTCCACTCTCAACCACTTCTTCCGCACTCAATCCCGATAATGCATCAGCTGTCAAAATCAAAATTTCCACGGCACATTCATGGATCAACTTCCGTTCGTGTATGTATTTGATACCTGCATGTGTATCCCCAAATTAATATCAATATGTATACTATATGCAACTTAAAAGGATATTGTAACAAACTTAAATTTTGAATCTTGAAATGAATAGGGAGAGTCATCTCTACCGTATGGATTATCATCTAAAATATAATTAATTTAAAGAAAAAGATTTCATGAAAATAAAAAAAAACACGTACCCAAAAACTTTTGGAGCATTGACTTAAATTCACGTATGCCCAGAAAAATGAAACTCAATCCACGCTGTAGTAGACGACTTCGCTCTGCAATATATTAACTACATTCTCATATGATATACAATAATTTGCTAGGTATTTGTAATAATTTTCAGCATACTATATACTTTAAATTGTTAATTATTGACTTATTTGTTAAAACAAATTAGACTTATGTGTTAGAAGAAAAGTTTTAACATATTTCGAAAAGCAATTGATAGAAGCAATTAAAGAAAAAAAAATGTTGTGTCTTGAATTTTACAGTGGTCGTGTGAGAGTCACTCCAAGAAAAAAGTTTGGAGCTAATTTATTGGATTTTGGTACCGTTAACGCCTCACTAATATATAATAACCCCTCACTAATATTATAACCATAATCTTTGGTAAGAAAAGAAAAATTAAGACGTCATAAAATGCTAAGATATTTAATTCTAATCACATAATAAATAAGATTCAAGGGTTTAAGAAAGCTGAAATAGTTGTTTATCTACTTTGTAGTCTTGTTTGTGCTCTTATTTTGTAGTATGTTTTATAATATATCGAATCAATGCGTCTATTAGTCATTATCATGATTTTTTGTTCTTAATTATTTAGATCTATTTATGAATCTTTATTATCTATATATTACTACATGTTGTGAGCCTGTCAAGGATTTATAATCTGCCATATAATATCTAATTTTCTTGCTGTACTATCACTACAAGAATTTTACGATTTGCCTCGCACTTTATTTCAGGTGCTTACCATGTCTGCTGGAAATGCTAACTTGCAGTAGAGTGCTTTTTGGGCGCTTTATTTATGCATTTGAAAATGCTATTCATTTCTAGCGCTTGAAAAGCGCCCGTAGATTAAAAAAAAAAGAAAAAGAAAAAGAAACAAGAAATATAGTTAGAATCCCTCCAAAACCAAGTCCCCGCGTTATTTTCCCAAAACCCCGCACTATTTTCCCAAAACAAAATCTCCTTCATTACCTCGTCTCCTTCCAGTCTCTTGTTCTTTTCTATTTCAATATATCTCCCTTTCGTTCTTTTCATTTTCAAAATTTTTGTTTCATTTCCAGAGTCTCTCCATTGGGTAAGCAGAAACCCTAAACCAATTGCCGTAGGTAAGCTTCAACTCTCTCCATTAGGTCCTCGTCTCTTCAATTTTGATTTTGATTTCTTGAAAACTGATATTAATTTTGATTTTGATTTCTCAGATTTTGATTTCGCGTTATCCTTTGTGTCTTCTCCTTCGAATCTCATCAAGTACTCCAGGTTTGTGTCTTCTTCTTAGATTTTTCAAAATCCCTTGTTTATGATTTTGAAATTGGAGAATTGAATCCAATTTCAACTGATGAACATTCGGGCGATGGCGATGAGATGATCATAACGATCCTCATCATCTTGTTGTGCAGGAAGCAATCGAGGGAGGTGTGGTTGAGCTGCAGCCATAATCGCTCGAAAATAGGGTGCTACGTTGTTGCCACCATAATCACTTTTTAGCTTCGACTATATCTATTTCTTTCAGATTTTCTTTGTTTACTTTTTCATTAGATTCATGTCTTTTAGTCTCCTATTTGCTTTAACATTTTGGTGTTCCCTGGCATTGGAAACACTAGATATTTTTTCTTCAATTTTTGCATGTGGTTTTTTGTTTCCAATTTCAACTTTATATTTGTTCTTTTATGATTTAGTTTCATGATTTAGCTTTAGTTTTGGAAGTTGCTGTTAAAGGTTTTGTGATGTTTTCCAAGTTCAATATTAGCATATTGTTAGTCATTCCTTTATTTTCTAAGTTCGACAGCATCGTTGTGGTTTGGACCTTTATTTTCTTGTTTAATGTAAGCTTAATGTGAGTTGAATTCTATGTCGGTGTAGGCCATTGACACTTGCTTAAGCAGTGAAGCTTAGGAGAACAACAGCTGCTAAGGAGAAAGAACTTTCAAATTGTGAGTCTATTTCTCAATTTTGATCATTATTAATTGAATTCTGTGTTGTATGAACTTGTTTGTTTGCTCATCAATCTGCTGTTTTCCACACCTTCCAATCAGTAATTTCATCTGTTTCACTTTTGGGTTTGATGTTATGTCTTAAGATCATTTCATTTCCTTTTTCTTGGTTTGTAGGTTTACATGCTTCCTTCTTCTCTCTACATTTTTTCTGTTTTGTTTGCTAGAACTTTTTATAAGTCATTATCTTTTCTCCATTTTGTATTCACAAAAGCACGGTAGTTATTAATATTATCGCAGTATGTATAATGTTTTAGAAGCTAACAAATCAGCTGCGTGCAGCTCATTGATACAATATACCTTTAAGCTGTTAGATTTTTATTTTTTTAGGTATTAATTTAACTAGTTTCACATTGAATTAGTAACATAAACTTCAGTTAATTGATATTTCTAACGGATGCATTGGCATTATTTGCTTTTAGAAAACTTTAGTGTTGGATGCAGTGTTGGTTTTGTCAATTTGTTGTTTGTCAATGTATACTAAGGCCTTCTGTTCTTTCTACTGTATGATTATTTGACCGAGTGCATTCTATGACTGGTTTTAATTTCTGGGTCTGCTGTTTATGGATTCAGAAATGATGGGTTTGGCACATGTTTGGCTAAGGCCAATGGGTCCTGAACTACTATTTAATGGTAGTAGTTAACCAAGTTAAGGCCAAATGGGTTTTGTTAATTATATTTTCTTTTAACTATTAGTTTAAACTTTTAACTTTTTTTCTTGAATTGATTTTGAAAATACAGCTAATCTTGTAAATTTAGCTTATGGATAATAGTTGGATAACAAAAGATAGGTGGGGTCTTGAGTACTGTGAAGGAGCAAGGAATTTCATTGAATGAGCCTTTCAAAATTCTCCTTATGGGGAATTGATAAGTTGTCCATGCAAAGTTTGCATGAATTGTGAATTGCACAAACTGACTGTTGTCTATTCATATTTAATCAAAAATGGTTTTTTGAGTGGGTATACATCTTGGATCTGTCATGGGGAGTCATCTTCTTCTATGAACCAAAATGCCCTTATTGTGCTTCAAAATATTCCAATCATCAATGAAGTTAGCAATTTACATGACCATGATGACATGGTTGGTTTAATACATGATACATTTAGAGTCTATGACATCCCATTATTTGATGCCCTTGGTGGCCATCAAAATAGAGAAGTTGGTGTGAAAGATGGTCAAATGAATGAGGAAGGTCATAACCCCCAACCTAATGAAGCAACTACTAAGGCATGTAACTTCTACAAATTAGTAGAAGATGCTAACACAAAATTATATCTTGGTTGTAAGAATTTCTCTAGGCTTTTTTTCATTTTGCGTCTCTTCCACTTGAAATGCTTGGGCAAGTGGTCTAACAAATCATTTACCATGTTGTTTGAACTTCTAAATGAGGCATTTCTTGAATTAAATCTTCCAAGTTCAACTCTGAAAATGAAATAGTTTCTTAAATCTTTTGGGTTGGGTTATGAGAAGATTGCAGTTTGTCCAAATGATTGTATGTTGTACTGGGGAGATAGGAAGAATCAAGAAGAGTGTCATGTTTGTAGGTTATCAAGATGGGTTTCCATTTTTAATGATGGTAAGAAGAAGAAACCTATAAAAATCTTGAGATATTTTCCTCTCATTCCAAGGCTCCAACGTTTGTTTATATCATCCAAAACCTCTTGCTTATTGAGATGGCATTATGACAATCGCAATAAGGATGGATTGATGGGACATCCTGTGGACTCACAAGCAAGGAAAGCCTTTGATGATAGGTATACAGATTTTGCTCAAGAACCTCGTAATGTGAGGTTTGGTCTTGCAAGTGATGGCTTCAACCCATTTAGATTAATGAGGAATACATATATAGCATTTGGCTAGTTGTCTTAATTCCTTATAACCTCCCACCTTGGTTGTGTATGAAACAATCATATTTTATCGTGTCCATGATAATTCCAAGCCCAAAAAAATCCAAGTAATGACATTGATGTGTACTTGCAACCCTTAATTGTTGAATCAAAGGAATTGTGGGCAGGTGTTGCCACTTGTGATGTAACATCTCAAGAAACATTTAACATGCGGGCAGCATTAATGTGAATAATTAATGACTTTCAAGCAATGGCATTCTTGTCGAGTAGGAGAACTAAAGGTTGTTATGGTTGTCTTCATTGTGGTGAGAAGACCTGTTCAAGATGGTTGAAGAATGGGAAGAAATTATGTTAACTAGGGCACCGAACATGGCTAGAACAAAGACATTGTTTTAGAAATCAAGCATTAGCTTTTGACGACAGAAAGGAATTCAAAACAACTCTTGATCTTTTGTCTGATACAGAGATATTAAGGCAACTAAAAGGTCGTGAATTCTTTCATGGAAAGATGCATAAAAGAGGATTTATTTTAAAGTGCAAAAAGGGGAGTCCAGTTATGTCATTAGATATACAAGATGAAGAAGGAGAAGATCCCAATGATGGGGATGCATGGAAAAAACAGAGAATTTTTTTGAACTCCCATACTAGGAGTTTAACTTAATTTGTCACGTAATTGACTTCATACATACAAAAAAGAATAAGTTAAAACCCCATTTTGGTTCCTTAACTATTATGCGAACCCCCGATTTAATCCCCCAACTTAAAAAATCCCTGATTTTGTCCATGCTATTTATTATTTTAAACCCAATTTGATCATTCCGTTAAATTTTTATTAACGTGGCATGTTAACTAACAGCAGGGGCATGCCTTTTTAATAAATAAAATACGTGGAGTTTAACACATGGCAAAATACATGACTTGGCAAAAAAAATTATCTAAATAATCTCTAAACATAATAAAATGACTGTATTACCCATTTCTTCAACCTTTAAAATCTAAATCCTTACATTTTCTCTCTCCTTTCCCAACACCAGATTTGGGTTCTCTTTCCTCTTCCTTTCCTATACCTTCTACGAACCTACTATTTGAGATCCCAAAGGCGGAGCAAAGAAGCAGAGCCAAGAACTTGGAACCCAGCAGGCACTATTGGGTCCCTTTGAACCCAGTAGCTGCTAGGTTCGAAAGCTTTGCTGAGTTCAAACCCAACAATCGTTGGGTTCTTTCGAACCCAGTAGTCGTTGGATTTGAACCTAACAGTCATTGGGTTCTTTCGAACCCAGCAACTTTTCTCCTTTTTTCTTCTTAAATATGAAATCTTAAAATAGACTTTGTTTCTTGGATCTTGTTTGGTGAGAGAGAAAACATGATGGTTGATAAAGAACATCTGGGTTTAAGTCTTAGCTTGAGTTTTCCTTAGATT